TGTTGGCCAAGCCCAAAGACCAGTCCAAAGACACTAGAGGCAAAATTGTACACCTCCACAAGGCTGGAAAGGACTACGGGAAAATTGCCAAGCAGCTTGAGGAAAAAAGGGTCCACTGTTGGAGCAATCATTAGAAAATGGAAGAGGCTAAACATGACTTTCAATGTCCCTTGGACTGGGACTCCATGCCAGATCTTAAATATGACTTACTTGCCACTTTAAATGTCGAATCATTCTCGCTTAAACATGTATAAAAATGTACTGTTTATCAATCAATATTGTCCCAGAACTTAGAAAATGTCAGCTTAAAAAAATCCTGTCTTAAAATCTTTGGGGTTTTTTTTCGTTATTTTATGCAGGCCAGTTAATTATAGATCAGCTTGTAAACCTAAATTCGGTCAATCATATATCAATGGTCATCTGTCAATCAAATTTTTTCAGTCCTAGTATCATATTTCACAGCTAATATACGCAGTGGTTGAAATAAGAATAATTTTACTTTCCAATTGAGTTACGTCCCAGTGTTTCTTCGGCAGTCATAGAGCTACCAGAACTGTTGCGAGGCAAGGGCTCAAACATGTACGGCTGTAAGCCTTCTACACCAAATGAAGCTTCTGCCACCCTGGCGTCCTCTTCCACAACATCTTTGTCCCTACTTTCCTCTTCTAAATAAAAAAATAATATGACGTAGGAGACTCCTCCATGACCTCTGACACTAAACTCTCCTCGTGTTGTATGTTTCCGCTGTCCATAACTACGACTAAGTTGCTAATTGGTTAGCAACATGCTTCCGACAGAACAATCCGGCCCCGATGATAAAAGACCAATCAGATTCACTTTATTCACTCGTGTAAAGTCTGGCACCACTCGGGAGAATTCTGAGAGGCAACGGTTAAAACAGCCATTTCCCTATGACTTTAAGTTTGCCGTTTAGATGATCCAGAGGAGTCATGGGAAAAACCCATGTGGTCAGATGAGACCAAAACAGAACATTTTGGTCATAATTACACTAGCCATGTTTGGAGGAAGAAGAATGAATACCATCCAAATATTACGATCCCTACTCTGAAGCATGGGTGTTGGTACCATCATGATTTGGGGGTGTTTTTCTGTACATGGGAAAGGGCGACTGCACTGTATTAAGGAGAGGGCCATGTATTGTGACATTTGGGGTCTAACTGGATTGAGGCTGGCTCTTCCAAGCTTACAATGACCAAAAGCACATAGCCAGGATAATCAAGGTGTGGCTCTGTAAGAGCCTAGCAAGTCTCCAGACATAAACTCAATAAAGAATCTTTGGAGGTAGCTCAAACTCCATGTATCTCAGCAACAGCCCAGAAACCTGACTGATTTAGAGAAGATCTGTGTGGAGGAGTGGGCCAAAACCCCTGTACTAAATATTAACCTTGATCTTCTCAGTTGTTTGAATACTTATTTGCAGTTGTATCATACAAACAAATACTAAAAAAAATCATACATTGTGATTTTTTTTTTCGATTATGTCTCTCTAAGGTAGAGATACACCAACAATAGCAATTTCAGTTACTAAAAATTATAAATTATACAAATTAAATTAAATAATACTTAAAAATTGCATTTTGAAGTGACACCAGCATGTTCAATAATTCAGCATCATGTCATGTTATATTTTCAGAAAATAACATTATATTCATAGCTTAATTCAAGTAGCAGGTAAAGACTGACACACTTGTATTAGCAGTTTATGGGTTTTATTTGGGGATTCACTGGTTTATCATTAAAATTGACTCAAACTGTTTTCTGAGCTCATAACAGAAAAATGTTTTTTTTATCATGAGTGTCACGTTAGCTATTTAGACATGTTACTGAGACATGAAGCACTATATAAATAAAAATATTACAGTATCCCTCTTTGATGATTAAACAAGATCTTTGCAGTATGATGCCATACGCAAGTCATTATATTAATTTGGGACATTGGGGACCGATATATTAAACATTGTTCAAAGAATGTGCGGTTTTGCTCCGCTGTATTCTCCTCTCCAATGAATGCAATTCCACCTCTGAGAAGATCAACACAAGACACTGCTAACTGGGAAATGTTATGTCCCAGTTTCCAGTTTGTTTAGGGAAAACGCACCTGCCTCATACACCTCCTACTCTTTTGCAGATGATCCCAAGCTACCCACATCAAAGAGACCCCATGAATTGAAATATATACAAGCCGGAGGATTCAGATCCTTCTGACTGACAGAACTTTGAGATACTAGATACTGCAGGCTTTCATCTTAGAGGAAAGGAGGTTAGCTCACCTGCTGCAGGCCTGACATTCTAAGCTTTCCTGAACATTGGAAACGCCTCACATCTCAAAAATGGAGATCACCAAAGATTACATGATGAGCAAATTTGGGGAATGCTAAATACCTAAACAGTTTGGAATTTTGAGGAATTTGATCATGTCATGTGTTTGCTATGGTGTAAAGCAATATATAGACACAAGAAGCTAATGGTGACAGCATGGTACCCCATGCTGACATGTCTTGAGCTGTTGTTTGTAAAGCTAAGACAAACATTATTTCACTAGGGTTTAAACACCAATAGAAAGAATAATACTTAATTTTACCTTATATATCATTACATTTGACTGCCAAAACATGACCAAAAAATTTTTTTTAAACAAGATCCCTTGTTACAACTAGCTACTAGCTCAATTGTTTTATATGCCAAGCTTAATAAGGATAAAAGGGTTCCAAACCCTGATTATTTTATTGGGAACAACCACAGAAAGCTAATAATCAATTAACAAAATCATATTGATTTCTCATTAAGCTAGTCAATTAAGAAAATATTGTTTTACCAGAGAGTGTTTTATTTAACTCTTGGATTTGAATTAGGAATTGGTTTGAGCATGTTCTAATTGCCCTTAATTGGTTTAGCAGTTAATTTGACCTCACTGAATGAAATCCATGACAAACTGAAAGAATTGCATCATTTTAATGATAATGGTTTTAAAGCATTTTAAACAGTATAGTAAAAAGTGTTTTAGTGAAATATGGTTGACTTGGAGTTGAATGATTTTAGTCAAAGGTATACTATGCAACCGGTGTTGATTTTCCAGCGAGGCTCCCCCCAGAGGGCGAAAGTAAAAGTGCACTGTCGTAAATATGCACAGCTGTTCTCTTGATTTCTCCGTCAAGCCAGGCGCGGTTGTTTTGAGCTTAGCAGACAGGCGAACGCAACGAATGACTAACACAGTAAAAGTATGAACATGCACACAGAGAGAGAGAGAAACCATTCCAATGTTACTTACAATCGCATCAGCAGAAACGCGAGGTCCGCGTCAGCCTTGCAGCCTTCTTTTTATTTTAGCTCTTGCCATTCGGAAAAAGCTTGCCCGATGTTCACCTGTGAATGACTCCTCTCTCTGTCTGGAGCCCTTTTCCTCTTCTTGCCTGCTCCGACATGGGCTTTCGCTGTTTTCACGCTGGTTCCGCCATGATAACTGCACAAAGATCGCCACTGTGCTAGCAACGAGCATGCTTTTAACTGGGGGCGTTTAGCAGTTCTCGCCGTAAAGCAAGACCGACTCTCGCGAGACTTCTGAGCCTGTGGGTGCGGGCCGAGGGCTCCTGCAATTGCAAGTGCGGTATTTCCTCCACAGACCACCAGGGCGGCCGAGAATACCTTTGTTCAACCTGAAATGACTCATTTAATCATCCAAAACGTTATGGAACACATTAATTAACTGAAAGATGTTGCATAGTGTGCCTTTAATAAATTATTTTATTTTGAAAGGACTTTTTTGTGAATGTCCTCCATATTTTGTCATGTTATTTCCACCCCGCAAACCCAGTTCTTCAGTGCTGGTTCCTTGTTGTTTATTGCCTCCTCATCTCTGGCTCCCCACGTGAGTTTCCTGGGTCTTTGCTGGTTTTGGTTGTCAGTATTTTTGTGTTTTTTGGTGTTTGTATCAGTTTTTCTCCATTAAACCTACAAGAACTCATCTCTGCATTTGGATCCTCAGGCAACCTCACTCGGCACGTTGACAGTAGAGTTTACTGTTTGGCCATGAGTTGAGCATGATTCACCCTTCCATATGTTGTTCTAAAACATAGTCACTAATGTAATAATCCGGCACTGCTGACTGGTCTGAAGGATCGTTAAATGGAGACTAATGCAGGTGGATCAGATTAACTGGTGTTGAGAACTGGGCAGAGTTATGCAGGTGTGTGAAATGAGCAATCAGACCAGACATCAGTGTCAATATCATGACAGTTGTAGTTTGTGGTGGGGATAAGCCTTTTTTTAAGATACATTAATATTTCAAATCTTTAAAAGTCTGACACATTATAACCAAATATCTTAAGGAAACATAATGTGATGGCCAAATCCATGGCCACACTCTGAAGTTGACAAAAGATGGGGGGGCCAGGGCTCAGCAAATTTGGATGCTGATTGGACTGCACCACTGGTCCTTGCTGGCGGGGGAATGTGTAGTTTCTTTCTTTAGATGAGTTTTTGCATTTAGGTGAATATTGGTATTTGGACTTTAATGATTTTGATTTTCATTTTGTGAGTCTTTAGTTTAGTCAAACTTAGCTGTACTGTTATTTGTTTTGTTTGTAATTGTATTCTGTTTAGTTACCCCTATTGTGTCTAAATTGGTCTGATCAGCCAGTATATATACCCCTGTCTGTCATTTCTTTGTAGGTCAGTTATGTTTGTTTGTACAGCCAGTATGTTTACATTTTTGCCTGAGTTCAGTTTTGTTTCTTTGACCTCTTTTATGAGCTCAGTTTATCTTTTGTCATCTATTTTTGGGTTAAAATAAAAAAAAAAACTATTTTTCTAATTAATATCCTGTGACTCCTCCTGTTTTTTTAACTCGGTCCATCACATGTGGTGTCAGAAGTGGGATTTTGAGTTGAGAAGCCAGGATTTTTTTTCTTTTCTCTTTTCTCTGTTTTCTTTTTTTTTTTGTGTGTGAGCAATTTTTCCCCCACCAACAAACTTTTTGAGCCATGCAGAATGGTCTGCACCCAAGAAAAGGAAATAAGGTTGAGACCAAAGAGGCTTCCCAGCAATCAGAGAGGGAGGAAATGGAAGGAGGAGCTTCAGCAGCAGCAGCTGAAGCCACTGATGAGGAGGAGCCCAGAGAGCCAACTCTGCATGATATTGCTGGGATTCTTCGGGCTTTCATGGGACAACAGGAAGTTCGGGAGAAAAAGCAGAGAGAAGTTTCTGCACAACAAGAACAGCGCTTTAGGAGCTTGCAACACCAGTTTCGGCTTTTGCAGATGGAAATACAGGCCAGGACAACCCCGCCCCCTGAGCCCACATCAACTGATCCACCACCTGTTACAACTCAAATTGATCAGATTCAAGCAACATCTCAACCTGAGGATTCAGCTTTCAGCTCAACAGGTCAGTCTGTGCACCTTCCTCATCCTAAATTGGAAAAATTGACTGCTGAAGATGATGTTGAGCACTTTCTGACCACGTTTGAGAGAATTGCAGCTGCTTATCGTTGGCCACAATCGGACTGGGTTTTCCATCTCATTCCTCTTCTGACGGGTAAGGCTCGCTGTGCCTATGTTAACATGGATGTGGATGATTCCCTGGAATATGGAAAGGTAAAAGCTGCCATTTTACAAAAATATGATATAAATCCAGAAACTTACCGACAAAGATTTCGCTGCCTTGATGTTCTTGATGAGAGTCCAAAAGAATTATATTCAAGGCTGAAAGAACTTTATGAGAAGTGGGTTCAGCCTAAAGATAAAACTGTGAAACAAGTTGGTGAACTGATTATTCTGGAACAATTTTTGAGAATGTTGTGTCCTGAGATTCAGGTTTGGATCAAGGAGCACAATCCGAAGTCTGCTGCAGAAGCTGCTACTCTCGCTGACGTGTTTGTGGCTGCCAGAAGTAGGAGTCAGCCATGGAGCAACAGTGCATGGAGAGCTGCCAAAGATTCACGTCGGTTACAACCTTATCAGCCTCATCAAAAGCTAGCAACGGGTGGGGGTAAGCCTTTTTTAAGAGAAAACCAGCCTTCTAAGGCAGGAAAAAGGCCTCCAGTGTGTTATCTCTGTGGGCAAGAAGGTCACACCAAACCCATGTGCCCTAAGAATCAAAGTAAGCTAACTCAAGTGTGTTTTGTGCCTCATCAGAATGTGGATGTTAAACTTGAAATAAAGCAGTCAAGTAAAATCATTACAGTGAAGATTGCTGGGCATGAAATAAATGCTTTAATAGATACTGGCAGCACACAGACTCTAGTGCACAAGAACCTTGTACCAACTAATTGTATATGCCCTTCTGAAACGATATCAGTTCGCTGTGTACATGGTGATGAGAAATCATACCCCACTGCTGGGAGCTCCCTTTCTGTTGAAGGTTGGGGTAGCTGATAACCTACCCTATCCTGTAGTTTTGGGGGAGGATCCGCCTGTCATCTATGACTTGTTGAGGGATGTGCAGAGCTGTAACGTGGCTGTAACCAGAGCCCAAGCTAAAAATCAAGATGAGCATTTTGCAACACTTAGTGCTTTACCTTTTTTCGAGGCTGAGTTGCAGACAGAACCTGGGAAGTCTCGGAAGCCACGCAGTCAAAGAAGGCGTGAGAAATTTCAACATGCACTGGGTGAGACTTCAGTTGAAGTGGCTCCAGATATGCCACTAGGTTTTTCAATACCCACAAACATCAGACAAATGCAGCAGAATGATCCAACTTTATTTGCCCTGTTGCTGAAGGCTAGGAGGGAGGCCTCTGTAGGATCTGACACAAATAAAGAGCAGTATATACTGCAAGATGGCATTTTATATCATCAACATGGCCAGTTAAAGCAGTTAGTTGTCCCTAAGGAGGCTCGTGAAACAGTGCTGACTTTGGGACACTCTATTCCCTGGGCTGGCCACCTTGGGAAGTATAAGACCACTGCTTGCATCAAGCGATATTTTTTCTGGCCTGGTTTAAGATCAGATGTTGCTTTATTTTGCAGAAGCTTCCCTGAGTGTCAGAAAACCTCAATGAGAGTCCCTAGCAAAGCACCACTTCAACCCCTTCCCATTATTGGCACACCTTTTCTACGCCTTGGGATGGATGTAGTGGGCCCGGTGGAAAAAAGTAAATCTGGAAATCGCTTCATGCTTGTCATCACAGACTATGCAACAAGATATCCTGAAGTTTTTCCACTAAAGACTGTTAAAGCAAAACATGTGGCTTCCTCACTGATTCAATTTTTCTCAAGGGTTGGATTTCCACAGGAGATTTTAACCGATCAGGGCACTAACTTTATGTCCACACTCTTGAAACAGGTCTATAAGCTGTTGGGCATCAGGAGCATGAGGACAACACCATACCACCCACAGACGGATGGCCTGACGGAGCGTTTTAACCAAACTCTCAAACAAATGCTACGTAAGTTTGTGAATGATAAAGGCTCTGATTGGGACCAGTGGTTGCCATACCTCCTTTTTGCCTACAGGGAGGTTCCTCAGGCTCCCACTGGTTTCTCCCCATTTGAGCTCCACTATGGCCATGATGTGAGGGGCCCTCTGAAACTGCAGCAAATGAGTGAGTTGGCTCAGAGTCATATGGCAGCTGCTCAGAAACACCAAAAGGTTTGGTTTGACAAGAAAGCTCGCCACAGAAGTTTTGCTCCTGGCCAGAAGGTTTTGGTAATGTTGCCAACTTCTGACAGCAAGTTGCTAGCAAAATGGCAGGGACCCTTTGAAGTACTGAGGAAAACTGGACCTACTACCTATCAAGTCTCTACACCAGGTCTCCAGCGAGGGAGTCGAGTGCTCCGTGTTAACCTTCTCAAGGAGTGGGTTCCAAGGAAGGAGAATGAAACTGAGGTGTTGCTTATTCACAGAGTGGAGGAGGAGGAAGAAGTTAATGACTATTTGCCCTCAGTAACATCCTCTGTGCTGGACCTAAGCCATCTCACAAGCGAGCAACAGTCTCAGGTAACACCTCTTATTACTTCTGACATATTTCAAGAGTGTCCAGGTCGCACCACTCTGGTAGAGCACAGCATTGTTCTACAACCAGATGCTGCCATAAAGCGTATGAGTTACAGGATACCCGAACGCTTCCGGGTGGAGCTGAAGGAGGAGATGGACCTCATGCTGTCTCTAGGAATCATCCAACCTTCAACAAGTGAGTGGTGCAACCCTGTTGTGTTGGTTCCGAAAAAGGATGGCAAAATAAAATTTTGCATCGACTTCAGGTACCTCAACTCTATATCAAAATTTGACTCTTACCCAATGCCACGTATTGATGACCTCATTGAGCACCTGGGGGCAGCAAGATACTTAACAACTATTGATCTGTCTAAGGGGTACTGGCAGGTGCCTCTCACTAAACAGTCCCAGGAGCTGACAGCTTTTCGCACCCCCTGGGGATTGTTCGAGTTCACAGTCCTGCCATTCGGTCTCCATGGTGCCCCAGCAACATTTCAAAGACTAATGGATCAGGTACTCTCTGGGCTCTCAGCATTCACCTGTGCATACCTTGATGATGTTGTGGTTTTCAGTGCAACTTGGGAAGAGCATGTTCACCATCTAAAGGAGGTCCTGGATCGGCTGCGTTTAGCAGGCCTTACCATCAATCCAGCAAAGTGTGCTCTTGCCAGGACAGAAATGCAGTACCTGGGGTACACCATTGGAGGTGGTACTCTGAAACCTCAAGTTGATAAAATCAATGCGATAGCATCCTGTCCACTCCCACAAACCAGGAAACAGCTGCGGTCTTTTCTTGGCATGGCTGCATTCTACCACAGATTCATTCCTAGTTTTTCAGCTAGAGCAGCATTCCTAACAGACATGACGGGCTCCAGAAGTCCCAGTAAAATTCAGTGGACAGCAGAGGCTATTGCAGCATTTAAGGACATTAGCCAATCTCTGAGTAAGAATCCAGTTTTGCACTCACCTGATTTTGCAAAAGACTTTGTGTTGCAGACTGATGCTTCTGAAAGAGGCCTTGGGGCAGTGCTTCTGCAGGGACCACCGGAGGACCAACATCCAGTTGCCTACATCAGCCGCAAGCTGCTGCCAAGAGAGGGGCGCTATGCAACCGTGGAGAAGGAAGCCTTGGCTATTAAATGGGCCCTTGACTCATTCAAATATTATTTGCTAGGAAGAGAATTCACACTTCAGACTGATCACAGAGCCCTCCAGTGGCTAGAAAGAATGAAGGACACTAATGGGAGAATCACCAGATGGTACCTTGCTATGCAGCCATTTCGGTTTAAGGTTCACTACATCCCCGGCAAGGACAACACCACTGCTGATTACCTTTCTCGGAGCCAGAGGGAAGTTCAGGAAGTGGGGGAGTGTGTGATGGCCAAATCCATGGCCACACTCTGAAGTTGACAAAAGATGGGGGGGCCAGGGCTCAGCAAATTTGGATGCTGATTGGACTGCACCACTGGTCCTTGCTGGCGGGGGAATGTGTAGTTTCTTTCTTTAGATGAGTTTTTGCATTTAGGTGAATATTGGTATTTGGACTTTAATGGTTTTGATTTTCATTTTGTGAGTCTTTAGTTTAGTCAAACTTAGCTGTACTGTTATTTGTTTTGTTTGTAATTGTATTCTGTTTAGTTACCCCTATTGTGTCTAAATTGGTCTGATCAGCCAGTATATATACCCCTGTCTGTCATTTCTTTGTAGGTCAGTTATGTTTGTTTGTACAGCCAGTATGTTTACATTTTTGCCTGAGTTCAGTTTTGTTTCTTTGACCTCTTTTATGAGCTCAGTTTATCTTTTGTCATCTATTTTTGGGTTAAAATAAAAAAAAACTATTTTTCTAATTAATATCCTGTGACTCCTCCTGTTTTTTTTAACTCGGTCCATCACACATAACATACACAAAAAGAGGAAAGATGAAGTTATGAAATTCAACAAGACCACTTAACTGATATATTTGGGTTGAGAGTTTCCTGTCTAAATGACAGGCCTTTGGATTAAAATAATGTGAATTAGAATATAGAGGTTAGTTTTATATAACCCCAAAAAGTCGATAGCCTCCACCAGGTCAGTTTTCATTCTCTAATTTAAGCAGAGGTGACCACATTCCCTGGAATGTAGTTGTTTTTTAAGATGTTTCTTTTTTTGACAAAAATAAAAGCTTACTTAAATAGCTTTTAAAGTTAAAAACCCTGAATCAAGAGGCACTGTTCAAGCAGAATTTTGCTGCTGGTCTTAAGGGTAACTATGGTATAAGGTGTCAAGCTAAAGTCAAATTTGCAAAGAAGCCTGAAGAAAAGGGAAAGAGCTAAGCAAATTATGTATCACCATGTTTGCTGTCAGGTTTTATAAAGAGAGCTAAAAAAGACAAAAAAGACCTGCATACAACTGCACTATTTAAACCTGAAGATGGAAAAACAAGAGGAACATGAGCAGCCTTTTTCCCAGGCTGAAAGAGACATCTCTGACTTCCCGAGGTGTTATATCTCTTGTAATCAAATTAAGAAATGTGTTTACCTCTGCCAATTATAGAGTCCAACGGAATCCTATGTCCCACATGCTTTTGAGTCTATTTGGACTTAATGGTAAACTGTAAAGAGGTATCAAATCCTTGAATTATCCAAGCCTGTAGTTATTTATTTTGACATTCAGGAAAGGTATCCTTTGTGTTAGTAAGGGTGTTGTCAAGTAAATGAACAAGCTCTAAAAGAGTGGCTGTTAAGATAGAGACCAAGATTTTATTATTGCCCCTTAACAATTTATCCCTTCTCTTACATTTGGAGTTTTAACACAAGCTCTCCTAACGCCGGGAATTCATAAACATGTTGTGTGGCTTTATTAGAGTGGTAATTCATTGTGCATATTCAGAAAACAAATGTGCAATTATAGGTTGACCCTGTTTAACTCATATGTCTAATTTAACTTTTGAGACTGAAAGTTAGGCAAAAAAACTAATTTAGTTGAAATTCTGCCCTAAGAATCAATAAACTTCTTAAGAATATATAGATGTATATAGACACCTTCACAATGAAGTCTTTAGCAAAGGAAATAAGCTACTTTCATGCTTCATCAGCTCTTACTGGTTACTTGCCAGATCAAATCTCATTCCATAATCATCTGAAGTCTGATACTAATGATGCCAGAAGAAAAAATAATATTTAGTCTGGACGCTGTTAATGAAGGAAGGAGAATCAAAGCTATTTTAACTTTCAAGTGTTTAAAATGCAGTCAGAGAAAACATTGAGTAGGTCTAAAACCCCATATACAGTATGGGATTCCCTTCAATTCAATTTAGTTTATTTGTATATAAAACGCCAATTCAAAACCCTGCATGGACACATTTTTCAGCATCATCCCTGGACAGGATCATTTTAATTTTTGCAGTATTCCACAGATGAAATAAGGAAATTCTAGAAACCTCTTTGATATGGGATTTAATTTACTTGTCCTGATCCTTCAGGCAGGTCATTCAGCTCTGAAAGATTGAAACAGCAGATAACTGTTAGGAATTAATAGCATGGAGCAAAAGTACTCTTTATTTTGTTATTACTCTTGTTAGGATAATTATCATTGATGATGTGTGAGTTTATTACACCTTGGTATTGGCTGCCTGATGCATGGCAGAACTGATGCTTTCCACAATAGTTAATCTTATTAAGACTGTCTGGATATACAGTTCTTATCTTCATTCTGTGCGTGGTAAAGATTTGGAAATGGAATGAGAGCGGTGTCCTTCAGCTAAGAACAAAGTGTAATGTTTGGATAAGGCTGGAGCCATGGATGTCTATTCATCTGCTAACATTTATGATGTAAAATATGATGATGTGGCAGACTGGAGACGTATATAATGCCTTTTTAACTGTTAATCGGGGCTAATACTGAGAGGTGAGCCGAGAGGTGAGCAGCTGCCATTCTGTAAACTCTAAGCAACTTCTCTGATCTGAGTAAGATTACAATCCTATACGAATCTTTTGTCATGTCTCCTGGTTATTTAATACATATAAGTTATGAGGTGTTATTTAAATAGTTTGCCCTGAGTGATCTCTTTTTTGGGAAAAGAACCGGAGAGACAGAGCATCAAGGTTCAGCCTCTGTCACAAAAAAGCTTGATTTTGAAATAAAGATGACTTTTGGAAATCTCAGGGTTGTGGGAAATATCTATACGTACATCCTAGAATCAGGAATTTTAGAATGATAATAGTGTTTTTCGTTAATATCAAATGCGAGAACATTTGAAAGTAACTTTGCAGATGAATTTTTTTTTGTTTTTGTAATTCAAATTTTATTGATTTCTTGCATATTGTCAAAAAAAATACAAACATGAACAGTAATGAACAGAAAAAGGCTGGTGCACCCCCCCACCCCTCCCGATAAAGTGATTGTCTTTATCTTCTTATATTATACTTGCTTAAGACAAATCTGAATTTGCAAAAAAAAAAAA